ATCAAACCATACCCAAATTTAAACAAATTTTCATGATTAATAAGCAAGCTTAATGATAAATTTTCAAATACCGAGAAATTAGTAATTCAAATGAACTATATTCTTTGATCATTAAGGGGTATAAGATCATATCTAGTCTCATATGTAGTTGGATAGTGATCCATGAAAACATGAAATAAAAATGTGATTTAAACCCATAATTTTTAGCCGATGTTTTAAAATTTGAGAACATACTCTTATATTTCCTAATATATCATCAAACACTAAATTTGGATAGCTCTCATAATGTAAGCAGTAAGATCATGAAGTTACAATTTTAAAAAACTAGATTGTTAATCCATCTTTAAGCATTTAAATGGATTTAAATATACATTAATCACCAATTCAGAACAAATAATCACTCAATACATGCCCATATTAAAAAAAATTAAACCAAATTTCACTCATCTCTTTTTTAATATATATGCATACAAAATTTATCACAGCCATAATCGCATTAGCAATTCTCCAAGCAAAATATTTTAGCCAAACCTGTGTTAATGCAGGCTCAACGCATTTTTTTGAGAAGGAAGTCAAGACCTTATCCATGAACCAGGTCACTCTGAATCATATGCCATACACAACGCCATGCATCTCGTGAAAATACAGGAGCCATAATCTCAACAAAGGCTGTATAAGGAAGCAGATGAGTGACGATGCACTATCCTGATTCCTCTTCTATTACTTTTTAAACTTCACGATAGCCACTCTCTCTCATTCCTCCCCCCGGTACTTTTCTACGTGTTCAAACCTGCTCCTCCATGCTCTTTTTTTTTCTCCTCCTATTTTTTTTTTGCTGTGTTTGTTTCTAGCTTCCCTTCCTCACTCGACCTCTGTTTCTTCCTCAAAATCTGAAGCCAAAATCACAAGTCCTCTCCTTTTTTTTTCTCGGTCAACTCCCTTCACCGCTGAAACCATCGTCTTCTTTTTCCTCCTGCACATCTGGTTTCTCTTTTGCTCTTTGCTTTCTCTGTTTTTTGTGCTCTTCTCGCTTAGTTTCTCGCTTCTCTTCCTCGTTTCTTTCTTCTCCTTTTCCTTCTTTGTACGTCCATTCTCGTGCTTTGTTTCCTTTTGGTCTCCTTCTCGTCTCCCACTCTCCACATTTTTTCTCTTCTCTTCTTCTTTGTTTTTCTCTTCTCAGAAAAGCTTCCTCTCTCGGTCTCTTCTCCCTTTCTTTTACTCTCTCTTTTCTTCTCAGCCACTTCTCCGTCTCTGCTTCTCGTTTCACGTCCTTCGGTCCTCCCCCTTTCTTTCTCTGTTTGAACACTCTTTTATACTCTCAGTCTCTCCCTCTCAACTTCTTCTCTCTCCTTTTCTGCTGCTTTTTTTTGCTTTGTTTTTCTGGCGCTTTTCCCGTGCATGCGTAGCTGTGTGTTTTGCTTTTCTACCACTGTGTTTTCATGTGTGCTTGCTGCTCTGTCTCCTCTTGTGTTTTGTGTGCATATCCAGTTTTGCGTCTCCAGCTCTGTTTTTTCCTTCTGCTGGCTGAAAAGCGTATGTATATGTGTTCTAGTTGCTAGCTGTGTTTTTCTTTGTGAAGCTTTTCTGCAATCTGTGTTTTTGTGTTTCTGCTTCTTCTGTGTTTCTGCTCATGGATGCCTTCTAATTTTCTGCGTGATTCTTCTCTCTGGTGTCTGGTGCTTTCGGCGTCTGAAACTTAGATTTCTTCATCTCTGTGTGCTGACTGTGTTCGTGTGTTCTGCTTGCCATGTTTGCATGTGTATGTTTCAGCTTACTTCTTTTTTTTTTTAATTAATAATTCTGATTAATATACACACACATATATTTAAATGAAAATAAGATTTGAGGAGAGAAAATTTAACTCTTAAAAATTGACTCCCAATATTTTTGAATGATTGGGATAATTTTAAAGAAATTTTGAAAGATCCAAACAAGATTTTTTTTATTTTGTTAAAATATAATCCTAAAAAGGATTGAATTTTATTTTTGTATTTTTATATTTTTTGATTATTTTAATGAACTAAAAGAAACAAAATCCTAATTAACAAAAGATTATCCAAAATAAAATTAAACCCTATTAATTATTATTTTTTTGAAAACATAATCCTACAAAGGATTAGACTTCATTTTTATATTTTTATATATTTTTTGGTTATTTATTATTAAATTTAAAAAATGCCCGAACAAAATACGGTGTTCACAGTTGTGGTGGCTTGTTAGCCACAAGAAGAACTGCAAATGTCAGGCTGTGTTAAAAATCCTTGTAAGGGGTAAGGCTAAGAAGAGGCGAAGCTGAAGAATCCTAAAGAAATGTAATTTTTTTATTATTCAATCATGATGCAAATGTATGAAAACAGAAGTAAAAAGTGACAAGATTTTGAAAGACATACATCCCAAAGTAGATGTACGTGTGTTCCATACTGGTATGTCAAGGAGGCCTCAACATGAGCCTCACTCCCACCAATATGTTTGACTTATACTAGTGTGTCATGTACGTACTGGTACTAATTCGGTCTCTACACGAGGCTCTTTCATATCGATATGTATTTGACACACCAGTATGAAACACACATACCTGTGTGAAGGAGGCCTCCACATGAGCCTCCTTCACACCGATATGTCTTTCTCATACCAGTGTGTCATGTACATACCAATATTAAACACACATATCGGTGTCAAGGAGGCCTCCACATGAGGCTTTTTTACACTGGTATGTGTGATTCATACTGGTGTTTTATGGATACATACTGGTAAGATATGAATATATTGGTATGTAGTAACATCTTTTATATCATCATCGTTTGATCTCAACTGTCCATTTCAAATAGGCTAGTATTCATATTGGTATGTTGTAAACCTACCGGTAGGAAATTGAGGCCGTGTCAATTGGATAGTTACCCTGTCTTTACTAAAACCATATTCCCTCCCTTGGTATCTCATAAGCACTCGTCCGACCTTAAACCTTAACCTTAATACCTATTTGCATGCCTTAAAAATGTGATTAAAGAATTTAATCCTATGTCCTCTCTCTGAAGAAGATGGCTCGAGTAAAAATGACAGAGAAGTGCCTTGCAGATCAAGGAACTAGACTTTCATGAGACTCATGATCTCATTATGAAGAGAAATAGAAAGAGTATAAGCACTTTGGAGAACAAAACTGAGGTGTTAGAGAAATCTAAACAAGTTACCACTACTCAAAAGAGAAAACAAGTATTCGATAGGAAGGTCAGGATTCAATCAGATAAGGGTATAAATGATGATGCTACTTCAAAGAATCCTAAAGCTATTGGGTGTGATAAGTCTGCCACGAATCCTCATGAAGCTCTTGCTCATCTCATAAGGTCTAATAATGTGAATGTTGGTGAAGCTACAGTGTGTAGCCAATTGAAAAAGAAAGGAAAAATGGTGATGGATGTTTCTTTAGATTTTACTGATTATCATTGTGATGATTTGACTAAAGGCAAGAATCAAAAACTATAGGAAACTATTTGTGAGAAAAAGTTTGGAGCGTATTGGTGTGTGAATCTAAATGAGCTGGAAGACAAGGGCTATGCAGTGAAGAAGATTCTAGCACCTTACAAGAGTATGCTAGAAATAAACTTACCCTTCAGTGAAAAAGTAACTAGAGCTTTCTATGGATCCATGGAAGTTCTCAATAAAGGGAAGAAGCTCAAAGTCACTATCAGGGGTCAGTCATTTGACATCACTAAGAGGTATTTGATCCACCTATTAGGCTTACCTTTGGATGGTTCTACAGTAATGACAAGTGACTTGTCATTTCAGAAGGCTGATATATACAAGACTTTAGTACTAGAGTGGAATCTAGAAGATAAGCTTGTAAGTAAGCCTACTTCAATGCCTCATGCACATAAGGTTCTACATCATATACTCATTGGCACTTTGCTGTAGAACAAGTAAGTGTAATTCTTAGACCAACACTTGGTACTCTTTGCAACTAGTGTTGTGAAGGACAAGTGATGTACATACATTAACAACATAGTGTTAGGTAGAACACTACACTGAGTAAGGTATTGTAAAGAACAAGTATGGTAAGGATATTAATAACATACTGTAAGGTAATGAAGCAAATCAAGTAAGGTCACAAACAAGTTATTCTAATACAGAGACCAACAGTTGCTACTCTTTTAAAGCTAGTATTGTAAAGAACAAGTCGAGTAAAGATGTTAACAACATACTATAAGGTAATAAACCACACAAAGTAAGGACATAGACAAGTCACTCTGATACACAAACTAACACTTGGTACTTTTTTGAAGCCGGTATTGTAAAGAACAAATATGGTAAGGATATTAACAATAAACTGTAAGGTAGTAAACCATACAAAGTAAGGACATGAACAAGTCACTCTGATACAAAAACTAACACTTGGTACTCTTTTGAAGCCAGTATTGTAAAGAACAAGTATGGTAAGAATGTTAACAACACACTGTAAGGTAATAAACCACACAAAGTAAGGTCACAAACAAGTCATTCAAACATAACATTAAACAAGCATTTTAAATTTTGTCCTATCATGTAAAGCAAGGTAATTAACATGTATAAAGTAATTTTATTAAGCATAATGTCAGTTATAGCGTAGACAAAGGATGAAGTGACTCCATCTTGGTACTTTGCCCAACCTCTGGACAAGTACCCAATTGAAATTCTTTTCCTTTCCTATACAAATGCACCACTTTACATAAGGCATCCAATACCATATAAAATCCCTTTATAAAAAGTAACCTATAAGATTCTACCCTTTTACACAAAATGACCTATGTCATTATCGATTTACAAAAAGCAACCCATGCTAATAAAACTAATGGATTATGTGGATCCATATATTAGCTGCCTCCTAATGTTCTAAAAAAATAATTAGTTAGGATACATATAATCATGTTTTATGTTCATAACCATGTTTAGCGAGCATTTGAGTTCTTGTAGGTCCTCATAGTATGATTTGGCTCCCTACATCTTGCATAGTGATATACCCTTCTGTCTTAGAATTGGGATTCAACCTTTTGAGTTCTTGGCCTTTCAGGAGGCCAGGTAGTGAAAGGTGGCTGAAGGAACACCGTATGTCTGTAGTCATCATAATTCAGGATGTCTGGTATAGTAATAACATAAGTCTCAATTGCAATCATTACCTTGTTGTAAATCTTTTCCTGAGCTTCTTGTGTCAAGTACTTGTCTACATACTTATATACATTTTCATGAAATGATTTAATTGCATCACAAGCATGTAAGCAAGGCATTCCATTCATGTCCCATGCATTGTATGAGCAAGTATGGTTGTTAAGATCAACAGTCAAATCTCCTTTACCAAAAATCACTCTAAATATATCATTTCCATAGTCTTGTATACCCATTCTATCAGATCGCATCACATTCTCCATCAACTTAGCCTTAATACTTGGTCCCATACCATTCTTCTAGTTCTAAATGGCCATCTTATAGGCACACATTTTCTTAGCTAATTTTCCCTGTACTCATGTATCAAAATAGGAATATTGTGCTTCCTCTCCTTCACTAACCAAACATTGAATGACTCCGCAAGGTTAGTTGTGATATTGTCCCATCTCTTACGCTCGAAGACATCATCCTGATTTTCAACCCATTGTGCCAATTTTGGTGAAAAATGCATCAAGTTTCCCATGCTTGTATCAAACTCCTCAAGACATCTTACATAAGCAACTGCATCTAGTAACTTCAACGTTGTTTCCTTTGCTAATCTTGTAGCCTTTCTCTTTCCCTTACTCAATTTCATAAATTCATTGCTAAAGTTTTCCTTCACATGTTGATAATAGTATGCATGTCGCTCCCTACCAAATATAGCTCTAACTGCACCTATTATAAATAGATGTCTGTCAGACACAATTGTTAAAACCACACTATTTGTTATCTCCTTTAAGTTGTACAAGATCCATGTCCAATCATCAAGAGTTTCACTACTAACAATTAAGCAACAGGGAATAATTAATTGTTTCCATTATAGGCCTGGGCTCCTAAAAGAGTCCCCTTGTATGGTTCATTCAAATGGCATCCATCCATATAAATAATAGATCAAGCACCCTCCAAAAACCTATGTATACAACATCCATATGCAATGAACAGTCGCTCAAATATGCTCTCAAGCAACCCATTTGGCCATTATCCTTAGATTGGCTTGCTGCAGCCTTTTACATATCTAAGGGACTAGTATATAAGAATCTCTCATAATACCATGGATGCTTACCAATACCCTCTGTTTTTCCCTATAGGCTTATTGATAGTTCAGTCTCACCCTATAATTTCTCTCCAAATCTTTTCTTATCTTATTGGGTGACTTATCAATGCTAGACCTCAACTCATGTACTATAATTCCAGAAGTAAGTTTGAATCTCTTATTGTGTCCAACAATAAGATTATCGTGTGCAGCATGCAGATGTTCTAGCACCAATGATGTTATATATACCTATGTATTTTCCTTACTCACTTGATTAGTTAAGACTTTCTAGGGACAATCCTCCATCTTACATGCTACAGTTATCCTCTTCCTACTATTCTTCAGAACACATATGAAAAGTTGTGAGTTATGCTATATTTGAATAACACATCTCCAAATGCATCTCTATGAGGAAATGTCTGCCCAACCTACCTAATCAAATCCTTCCACTTCCAAGCATTCATCTCAGGGATTGGTGTAGGCAATCTTTGTGCACTTAAGCTTTTAATATTACATGATCTTTGTGAGCTCTGAATGCACATTGACACATTTTGTAAAGGTAAGGGAAAAGGAGTGCTTGGTGTCACAAAATTGAGAGGATTCAATGAACTTCCCTCCTCAAGTGCTACTAACTCCATTATGCTACATCAATAAATATGAAGGAAAATTATAGTGTATGTCAACCAGAAGGAGGGAAATTAACAACTTCATTAAAATTGACAACTTACTCCTCTTGGAACTCTATTTCTCACTGCAAGTGCACGGGTCGTAGCAAGTAATATAAAATGAGTAAAGTATCGTTCCCTCGAGGATTTGTTTAAAAACTATAATCAAGCAAAAGACTAAGTAAATTCGATCAAGTTGAGCTACATAAAGTTAGGTGAAAATGATTTTGCAAATGAAACTAACACTAGAAAATAAAGAAAAGTGAGTGATTCACAAACTTCCAACACAAATTGAGACCTAGGATTATTTATCCCTCCTGCATTTCATAACACCAAAATTACCTCTTCTCATAAGTGCTTTTAATGAAAATAAGTGCTAACCTAGGGTTCTAAAAATACTTGTACAAGCTCTCTCAAGTCATGAACAAGTGTTTAGTTAAATTAATTGCTCAATCTCTTATTATAATTAATAAAACTCAATTTTAAACACCAACCCTAATGTGGTTATGTAAGGCTAGTAAGTATATCTCTATCTTACTAGCAAAACCATCTATTCAACAAGCAAATATCAAGTTCTTGCATAATATTACCCAAGTTCTACACTCAACCTAGCCCTCTCAAGCATCAATTAAGTGAACCCAACATCTAAATGGTGGCCAATCACTTAGAAGCATTAAGGAAAGAGTAAAATAAACACATATATATCATTAATCACAAAAAGAGAGGAGAAATATAGTGTTAATCCATACAAGGGTTCCAAATAATCCTAGAATAAAGGGTTTAGCTACTCATAATCATCCACAAGCTACAAATATACAAAATAAGTAGACCCATTTCAGATTAGAAGATAGCAAAGGGAAGAGGAATAGAAAAACTGAAGAAAATGAGCTCCAAATGTCTTCAAAGTTTTAATCTCTTGATCCCAACTCTTCCAATGCCCAAACCCTAGCACAACCAAGCTCCAAATGTATTTAAAAGTCTGAAGAATGCATTTTGGGTCGAGCTCTTAGCTTATATGTATCCTAGCCAACTAATTTTTGATAAATAAAACGCAGCGTTTTTCTGACAGCGGTAAAACTCGTGAACGAAAGTCACGACTTTAGGATGACTTTGGCAATTTTGCATTGTTTTTACAGTTAACGAAAATCATTCATTTTGCTCTTGATTTCTTCATCCAAAAGCCTTCCAAAAACATCCACAAAGCTCCAAAAATGCTTCTAATCAAAACTTCAATCAAAATAACATGAAATTAGGCTAAAAATATCAAATTAAAGCCAAGAATACAAGCCCAAAACAAAATGCACATTTTCTTAATTTGGGCAATAAAAACATATACAATTGAACCAAAATGGATTAGAATTTAAGAAAAATGTGATAAAATAACATGAACTTCTAGAGGTTAACACACCCCTAAACTTAAATTTTTACTCGTCCTCGAGTAAAACAAGTAATAAAACAACTAGATTGACCAATTATTCATCTACTAAGCATGCATGAAAATATCCTCACTAGTTGCTCCAAATATATATTAAAGAGGATAGCAGTGAAATATAAAGGAATGCCCAATTCACAAATTAAGATCATGCTTTCCAACAATTTAGAAATGTATGTGTGTAAGACTAGAGAATGATTTTCCTGCAACTATCAAGTCAAAATGTAACAACTCAATATGCATGGAACAAGCTCAATATCAAGACTTCATATGCCTAAACTCTTCTTCTCTCTCCACTAAAAGATCACTTCACATAATTTAAAATCAATGGGACTTTGTAAGCTTATAGCGTGGCTGAAGGTTTTGGGCTTATTGAAATGAAAGGATAAATGGAATTCAAAGAACTTGAGATAAATAACAATGAGAAGCCAACCATTCCATCTTTGCTAGCCAAATATTTTCCCCTAAACTTATCCCAAATGCCATTCTTTGTACTCCAAATTTATTAATATTGAAACTCTTTTTTTTATTGCAATTTTTTTTCATGTATATTTCTATTTTTTTATACTTTTTTTAGGAGCATAATTAGTAGAACTCCAAACTTCATTTCCATTCCGCACACCCAAATTTACAACAACAACACCAACAACACCTCCTTGAACAACTAAACCAATCTTCTTTACTAGCACACAATTTTTTTTATCACTTATCTCAAGAGTAAGATAGTTCATGATTTTTCAAGTTGTAGAGGCTAGGGTTTAATGTAGGTTTCAAAAAAAAAAACATAAGATTTTCAATTCCAAGCTCAAAAGGGGGTTTAAGTGGAAATGATGCAATAGGTAGGCTTGAAAGGCTTAAACGCATTTGAAAGAATACCCAAATCATATTTTAATATTATGCAAAGTAATTAAAATGCCTCAAGAGATTCCAAGATAGGTTCTAGAGTTTCTCAATTTTGAGAAAGAAAATGCACATAAACTTGCCACAAAATTTCCCAATAGAGGCTTTCAAATCTCTGATTCAAAAGTACAAAAGAAAATTTCATAAATTACTAGAAAGCAAGCCTTAACCCTGCAAATCAAGCATGCTAAAATATTGATCACAACTTCCTATAAAACATACAGTTTAAGCAACATTCTATCATTGGATCACGCATTCTGTTCAATAAATAATTTCTTAATCTAGCTCAAATTTCAGAAAAAAGGAATAGTAAATAGCTAAGTTTCAAAATTGAAATTCATGTCAAATCAACCAAAATAATACCTTCACCCCCAAACTTAAATTGAATAGTGTCCACACTGTCAAAAGGGTAAAATGAGGGCCCTTTCTCATGCAACTTAACAACTAAAAAGAAGGTGCATGAGAGGCACAAAAAATTAAAAACCTATAATAGTATAATTGAGATATATCCATAGGCAGTCTAAAAATACAACTAATTACACCAGCATGTACACAAGTTATCATAGAGTAATTAGTTGCAAGAGATTAGTCAAGGTATCACATTTAGCTACAAAAAGATCAAAGTTAGCCCTGCACAAAAGATATCAAAAGATCATGGCTAACCATATTTACCCAAAAAGAACTAATCAACAGCTAATTAGAATTAAAAACAGAAATAAAAGGCAGTAAAGTAAAGAAGGGTAAAGCTAGTTAGCGTGAGTGTCTGAGTCTTGACCAACATCAATATTGGCCTCCTCTTCTTTTTCTGGCAAGGTCCATCTGAAGTCTTTGATGCAAGAATAGCTCAATGTGGTGGAGCCTGAAGTCAATCCGATCCAGCTGGCTCTGGAGGCCCTCATGCATATTCTAGATGAGTACTATGAGGTTGCTCAGTGTAGGCTCAACATGAGGTGGATCAATATGCCTCATGCCATCCACAGCTTGATCTGGCACCCCTCTTAGTCCCTTAGCACATCGAATTTCTCTATAATTGAACTTTGGCAAAGGAGGGAGCATGAGATCCTTCAAAAAAGTGGGAACCTTCTTCTCTAAGCACACTTAAGTAATCAAGTCTGGGAACCTAAATTCCTGCTTGTGATATCTACTTCTAGGCAACTTCCGCATGTACTCAAACATGATTTTTGGAAAGTCAATAGGTTGCCTCATCATTAAGATATATAA